AATGTGGTGTGCGAGTGCATAATAAAGCTATCGCAGAATTGCTATAAGTGTCATTGTTCGGATGCTTTATGATTTTAAAATTTATTTTTATGATACTTCATCAAAGAGCTTTTCTAGTATTGAAAAACTGTCAATTTAAAAAACCGATTAAAGTTTTTCCAAATTTTTTAAACCATAACTTTAGCCTAATCCCTATCGCAAACGTTTCGTAGTGTAGTGCGATCAATTCCGTAGAATTAATCTGATAAGTCAGGACCCCAAGGTATTTTTAAAAGTGATGCAATTTAGAATACTCAGAAGACGGGAAGACAAATTTGGATGTCGCCAAGGATTTGGTACTAAAGAAGCATTCAGTTAAGCGCAGAAAGGATGCGTATCTTCAAGCAAAGAAAGAATTGCCATGAGAACTAAAACATTAGGAACTGACACTAAATCGAAATGATTTTGCCATAATTGTTGGCAACATTTATTAACGCGAAGAAGGAACGCTAAAAGAAAAAAATTATTTCGACTCTTTTGTCAAATGTTCTGAGAGGAAAAAATTTGTTGTCGGAGAAAACGTCAATGTGGATCACACATATTAAAGTTCACACTGAATAAAAGGGAAATGTGGACATATCGTCCAACTGATTCAAACAAATTATCACATTTTTTCTATTTTTTTAGGCTGAAAATTTTTTTTTTATAATTTACTTTAAGTGCCCATAAAGGGTAACAATACATATTTTACCTTCGCTAAAAGTATGTGATTAAAATTCCTTTCCTTTAAATGTTGAATAAGAGAAAAGAATATAAACCAAATTTATATTTCTTCAGAATTTTGCCAATGGAGTTAAGTGGAAGCCTGCCTTCTAGGACACGGAATCTTAACGGTAATGAACTATTGGCAGCAAAAAGTAAAAAAAAAATGCAATGTCTTCAACAAGAAGTGTAGTTTTGTTACGTGCTTTAAGGACAAAATATTTTTTAAATTGAGAATAATATGTGTTTGGCCGCCGTCCGAGAGTTGACTATTTGGATGATGACAATCTGAGGATGGTTGCAAAGGCATAGTCATAGTAGTCAGAACGAATAATCTCAGTTTTGTTTTTCAGGGTTGCTCAACTTTACATTTTCCTAAATCGCATAGACCCAATAATACAACCGAATGCCAATTTTGGAAATAAAATATAACCCGATTAGTTATTTTATTTTTATAACACATTTGGGCTAATATAAGAGAAAATTGAAAAATATATAGACGTTTTATTAACCTGTACAATAAACCAGTAATAGTATTTTCTTATTGTGAAACATTACAGTGATTGTTAGAGTTGGTTAAAACCCTGCAGCAAAAATGATTTAGGTTTTTTTATAGAAACTAGAGAATAATTAAGAGTGGTTTAAAGTACGAAAGTTATAGTCAGCTTCAGTCAAATATCTTATAGCAAAGATGTACTTACTTTTGCAACGTTTGCAGTTTTCCAAACTTTTCGTACATCAACTTTATCAGAGGTTCTGCTTGTAAATGGCATTGGAGAATAAAAAATGTTCTCTCTTCTGAACTTCTACAAGACATAGAGGGAATGTTTGCCTTAGAACTTGATAAAGAGATTAAGTAATTGAAAAAATTATCTACAAATTTTAGAAAAATTAAGGGAATACTTCAATATCCTTATTTTTTATTGTCAGTTTTTGCTTAAATTTTCCGGTCTTTAATATCTTCTGCAATTTATGAAATATCAATAATAAAGATCACATCTTATCAAAATATTTGCAAAACTCCTGATATTCAGCATTCGAATAGTTCAACCAAAAGATCGGCATTTTGTTTGTGCAATACCATTTGCCAGTCAATTTAAAATCGGCAATTTAGCTTGAAATCCGGCAAATAAAAATAGAAAGATGCAATTCAATTTTGTGCAGCTTAATCCGCGGAATCAATTTTGGAAATCTTTATGAAATCGCTGATGAAACGCCACCAAATCGTAAATTGTTTTCAGTTATTTGGTATGGAATGTTGAACGAATTTGCCATTTGATACTCGAAATGCTATCCGGTTGTTTTAATATGATGGGAGATCCGGAATTGTTTGCATGAAAATTAGCCCTAAAAATCTTCATTAAACCAATGCGGTTGATTACTAATTAAATTACTACGCAACACTAAGTAAGTGCTAATTTGCCGATAGTGCAGTAATTAATCACAACAATGGATGAACAATGTTATTAATTTGATTTGAATGTAATCTGGTTATTATTTAGGATCATGATTTATTTTATGTTAGATAAAAACGATGTACACCCATTTTCACATTTTTTCTTCGTTCATACGTGCCTCAAATTTAAGGCACACTAAACTCACAGTTTTCAATAAATAGTTACAAAACTTGTGTTTATGTACCACGATACACATAAAAGTAAGGAAGTGTATCGTGATACGTACACAATGAACTGATGATGATGGAAAGAAAAAACACCGGAACGAATTCTGAAGAATATAAACCAGGGTTGGCTTGATTGTTTTCAAGTGATTTCAGTCATGATTTAAATTACCTGACTTTTTTGGAAAAAATCGCGATTTAAATCAAAGTTGATTTTTTTCAAGAAACTGTATATTTCCACTCAAAAAATATAAAAGAGAACACAAATAATTCGAGGAAATGAAAATCAAAATAGAAAGTGTACATGTGAACTTCAAATTAAACGGTGTTAATGGTAAACTCAATAATACTAAAACGGAAATCACTTCTCTTTCTCTTCATTTTCGATATAAAGTCTGAAGAGGAACACTAATTTCCCTCCTTTTTCGATTCCCAATCTGTTCCTGATATCCGAATGAACAAATCCGAATGTGCTGAACATC